TTGTAGCCAAAAAGTTAAATTCATGCTGCATTCTCTCAGATTAGCAGCCAATATATTTTCCCCTAATTAAAAGTAATACTATAACTCTTTTTAATAGTGAAAAGATAACTAGGTTGTTAAAAGTATGGTATTACAGAATAAATACCATCTGTCTCTCTCTGAATATAGAATATATAAATATATTTCTATCATTTATCTATCGCCTCAACCTAACCATCTTTAGGCAATTAGAGATCAATTTATCCATCTGAAATTAAACTGCCACATTCAAAGGGATAGAGGAAAGACATCAACATTTGTAATCGCTGCCTCTCTGTATCCCAGATTTATTCTGTTTCTAATATTGTCTCATTTTGTGTATATGTCAGTGTGCATTTTACTTTTAGAACAGTAAATGTTGTCAAAATTAAACGGTTGTCTCTGGTGATGATAGAGGTGCATCTCCCCCCCTCCAGTCCCTTATTTTTCAGCAACGGATTGGAAGAAGCTTTTTTGAGTTAAATCAAGCAGTGACATTTTGACGTCTTCCCTAAGTATAAGCAATATGGTTCCCGGATGCTTCCCTTCCTTATGAATGTCAGCAAGAAGGATCTGACCACAGCTGTAGCAAGGGTGGGAAAAGCATCCCCAAGCTGCCACTTGTTCTGCATTCCCAGAACAAGGCCAGCTGGCCAGCCCCACAGCTGGAGAGAGGCCGCAAAAAGCAGGGCAAGGCATGCCAAGGAAAACCTCAGAGTCTCTTTCATTATGCATGCTTCCATAAAAGGATCTGATTTTTGTAAACAAACAAGCAAACAAACAAGATTTAGTCATTGGGTTAATTGTAGATTTAGTCATTGGGTTAATTGTACTTCCACTCAAAGTGATTAATTTCATCAAAGTTGTGCGTTTTTGTTCTATTGACACTATTGACACCCAGACACACACAGTTTAGGTGGATTTAAGCAGCTCAGTACCTGGGCATCTGGAACCCCCTCTCTCATCCTCTTCTCTTCCCCAAAAGCCTTGTGCTCCAAATGGCCACAGCCTCGAGCCAAGGGTGAAGGATAAATGTTAATAGGATTGAAGGGGGAAGGTGAAGATGGCTTCTTATTTGACCTCTTTGGCTATTGTGCACTCATGTTGTTTTTAAGCACTGTCTTTCAGAAGTTATATATCTTTGGCTGAGATTGGCTTTCTGTCAGAATGATGGCAAAAAAGAAAGAGGGGAGAGGATCGTAATGGTTCTGATGGTGGCCACTCCAAAGTGTAGATTACAGAAGGACGCTGCCCTCTGCAGACCCTCCCCTCTTCTGGTCTTCAAAGGTCAGAGGTTGAAGGGCCTAGAAATGGTTGATCTTGAGTTTGGGAACCTCCTGTTGATGAGCCTGTTGAATTTGCAAGCTCCTGTGATACAGACAACAATCCTAGGCAAGCAGATCTGAAGAAATTGGTGGAGGGGGAGAGAAAGACCCTCCTCCACCAATTCATAGTAATTTGGGATGACTTTACAGGCTGAATTAATAACCTAAAAAATGGAATGTTACCAGGAAACCTTATTCATCCTCTCTTTTTCCTTTCTCAAAATTCCTCTCCCAGCACAATTAAAAACAAAAGCACTGCACAATTCATGCCAACTCTAAACACTTTTTATTTGGAAACAAATCTAATCAACCTGAGGAATAAACAAATCCAGCATAGGCCTCAAGACATTATCTGACCGATTCGGATCTTAAGAATGAAAAACATTTTTTAAAAAGTTTGGGTTTCAATGGGAAACAAACCAGCCTAATAACAATAGACGGGCCATGTTAATCTGAGGCACATTCAAGGGGGTGGGGTGGGGCGGGGAGGACCCCCTAACTAACATGGAATTAATTCTCAAGCAAGCAGCATTCTGTATTTAAGATACTTTATCTTTGGCTGGGATTTAAGAGTACATTCCACACACTTCCTTAGAAAATATTTCAAATTCAGGCTGCAGGATTACATTTGCTTAGCCTTGAGTAAATTCAAGGAAAACCTAAGAAGCATCCGCAGGTTTGGGAAGAATCGGAAAACTGCAGTTCTCCGTGAGAAAAGGTTTACAGCAAAGCAGAAGTTGGATTCTCCACATTTTGTATATACTTTTTTCTGTACAGTTATCTCCATGCAAGGGCCTATCCCTCTGGCCCAAGAAAATCTGTTTCTGCACCCAAGGAAGCGGGAGCTTCTGCAGAAACCCTCCGAGAGGCAAAAGGATTTAATGCCCCCCCCCCCTCCTGTGATTCCAAGGCGTCAATTTCAAGCAGCAGGATTCTCAAAGTGGCCGGTTATGGGAAATAGTAAGATCACCAAATATAGCAAACTCTGCCACCTTCTCAGTCTGGGAAAGAAAAAGGCAGAAACGGGAAAAGAATTAAACTTACAAGCCAGGGACGCTTTTCCCAAGAGTTGCTCCCGAGAAGCTTCCCAGACCGTGCAGACCAGACCTTCAAGAAATGCCTCCGACGGACCTCCCTTCCCCAAGGAACTTTGCCTGCCGGCTGCTTTCTCTCCTGGTAAAGGCGGCGCTGCGAAGGCTGCCCTTCGGCCAATGGCCCGTGAAAGAGACGGCAGGCTCGTTTCTAGGAGCTTCTCTCTCCCACCTCCACCCACCCCTTTCCTGGTCACCCCCGTGACATGGTTGGTGTGGGGGGGGGGAGAACGAGAAAGTTCTGCGGTTTGGAGACAAATAAAGCGGGAGGGGGAGCAGCAGCAAGAAGGTCGGCGGTCAAGCTTTGAACTTTTTGCAGGGGAAGAGGAGAAACGAAGTTTTGGAAGAAAAGCGCAGAGTTAGAGCCCACGGAGTTTCCTGCTGGAAGGAACTATTTTATCCAGACACTCAAGCGTCCTGGACAATCAAGAGGGAGGAGGCCGCTATGAGGAAGGAAGGAAGGAAGGAAGGAAGGAAGGAGGCAGGGAAGGAAGGAAGCAAGGAAGGAAGGAAGGAGGCAGGGAAGGAAGGAAG